CCACAGACACAAGGTGGGAGGTAGAGACTTTAGGAGAGTTGGTTGCAATAAGCTTTACACAGAAAGGGTTGTGGGGGCGAGGCAGGCAAGAGATGGAGACAGTTGAGAACATCGCAAAATGCTTTTTGTGTGCCTAAAGCAAAAGTTAGAAAAACTCTATATATAGGGAAAGGGAAAGAATTCCAAAGGAGCCTTGGAATGGCTAATTTGGCAGCTACCTTACCTCTATTGCGGTGCGCATTCCCAGGTCTGACTCCATGGGCACGCTGAGACTCGCCATCTCCAGGTCTCTGGAACCCAAACGAAAACAAAGGAAAGAATTTATATAAGAACGTCAAAATGAACTTCGCGGGGATTTGCCAATTTGCCATCATCCAGTCAAAGATCCTCCGTAAGCGATTCCCACCCACACATGCCATAAGAGCATACTATTCACATTAGGACTTTTCTGGATGAATCTGGCCGTCATTGTAGTCAAATTCGGCCGAGAAAGTCATTGTATGTCCTGACCCACCCCAGCATAGTCACTTCCCTCCAGTCTTTCCATCAGTGGGAAATAGCAGAATCCCTAATAATAACCTATGCTGATCAGTCAGACCCTAGAAGACCAATTGCAGACGCGCCCACAGCAAAAACAGATCAGTTTCACACTACCGTCTTCACCTGAAAATAACGCCCGGGCGTTATATTCAACTTACCCTAAAAAGATCAGATTTTCGTTTTTACTCCCTTTTTTCAAATAGAACGCCCCTTCGAATATAACGCCTGCGCATTATATTTGAATGTTCCATAGGCAGAGTGCCTCGTAGAGGTATTATACATGGGTTTGAAAGGGCGGGGAGGACGGTACATTTGGGTTTTAAAGGGGGTTGAAAGGGGTTCTGACTTCCAAGGGGCATATTTCGGTTTGATTTTTTGTTTTCATTTTTCATTTCCGAGTTTATAAGGAATTCTGTAGTGACCCTCAGCCAAAAGATGGTCGCATTGCAATTCTGGACAACATATTGTTTTTACAGAATTTTTTGAAATTTTTGTTTTTCGGAATTTTGGGCCCCCACCAAAGTTGCCACCAATTTACTGAATATAACGCCCGGGCGTTATAGACGAATATAACGCCCAGCGGCATTATATTCATATACAAGGGTACCTGCTGCGACTTCGCTTGCAAGGAAATGAGGGGAAAA